AAAAAAAAAAAAAAAAAAAAAAAAAAAAAAAAAAAAAACTTAATAAGACAAAAGTTGCTTAACAAGAAACTGATTGCCCTTTCTTTGTTGTTGTTAGGTTTTTGCATTTGCTGACAAATACAGAGGAACTTACAGTGCAGGATTGAAACCAGAAGTTTGTCCATTTTATTGCTCTTACTCTGGTTATCAGGTAAATGGGTTTATCTACACATAATTATTAAATTAAATATGTTGTAGAAAATAAAATAAAGTGAAGATTCTGGAGAAACCAAAGAATGTTTTTAAACCAAAGGCTGATTCAAGAATGTTTTTTTTATTCTTGATTTGCAGGATGAGTTGTTGTGGGGAGCTGCCTGGTTACAAAAAGCTACGAAGAATGTAAAATATTTGAACTACATAAAGATGAATGGACAAGTCCTTGGAGCTGCTGAATATGACAACACTTTTGGTTGGGATAACAAGCATGCTGGAGCCAGAATTCTTCTTACAAAAGTACAACTATTTTATATATATTTTTTGGTTAGAGTGAAAACCATTTCTAAGTATGTGCTTTTGATTTTGTTGTTGCTGTGAAGGCTTTTCTGGTTCAGAAAATGAAGACGCTAAGTGAATACAAAGGTCATGCTGATAATTTCATATGCTCTGTTATTCCTGGTGCTCCTTTCTCTTCTTCTCAATACACTCCAGGTACTTACATTTTTACCCCTTCATCTTCCTTTAATTTACATATTTACTCTCCACTACCCATTATTTTATGGTAATTGTTTTTGTGATGTTACACTTTCTGAAAACCATATGACTTTTTTGGTTATATTTAAACTTCTTTTGCTGATATCTTTCCTTTTTAGGGTGGTATTTTTTTGATAAATATGTTATTTATTATATGCTGAACAAAAGTAACAGTAAGACTGGTTGAATACTATTGGACTGAATAAATAGTAAATACTAAACATTTTTATACATATATCACGCAGGTGGATTATTATTTAAAATGGCAGACGCCAACATGCAATACGTAACGTCAACATCGTTCTTGCTCTTAACCTACGCCAAATACTTAACCTCCGCAAGAACCGTCGTCCACTGCGGTGGCTCAGTCTACACTCCCGGTCGCCTCCGCTCAATCGCCAAAAAGCAGGTGGATTATCTACTTGGAGACAACCCATTGAGGATGTCTTACATGGTTGGTTACGGTCCAAAATTCCCACAGAGAATCCACCACCGTGGCTCCTCTTTACCTTGCGTTGCAAGCCACCCGGCCAAGATTCAATGCCACGAAGGCTTCTCCATCTTGAACTCTCAGTCTCCAAACCCTAATATCCTGGTCGGTGCAGTCGTTGGCGGTCCTGACCAGCACGATCGCTTCCCAGACGAACGGACTGACTACGAGCAGTCCGAGCCAGCTACTTACATCAATGCACCACTCGTTGGAGCTCTTGCCTACTTCGCTCATTCCTATGGTCAACTCTAGTTGTGACCTACGGCTTCAGTCTAGTAGTGAGTGTATTAGTTAAGCAAAAAATAAACGTTAAGGAAGTTATCTATGTTTTTATGTTTGATCGAAAATCTGATCACAAGAGGACATTGGTCCAAGGGATGTCTTTATTCGGTTCGTTATTAAATAACGTCAAGTGTAATCTTATCGTGGTTATTAATGTTATCGTCCTTCAATTATTCTATCCATGTTAGTATTTTGTATGTTTGTGTGATAATTTTACTATATCCAGCTGTTTTTTTTTGTTTTGACAAAGGGCTTTTACTTTTTTTTTCTTTTTTTTTTTACTAGTTACAACGTACGGACTTTAGTTTTTTTTTTGGTCATTGAAATAACTTCCAAAAGTTTGATCTCCAAAACTCAATACTCTGAAGGAAACAAAGAAAAGACAAGCAAAGATAGAAGACAAACACCAGTAGGTGCTTAAACAAAAGAAAATACCCTACAAAGGGAAAAGAGTTTTTGAAGATATAAATGGCTGCAAAGGTGAAGCCATTACAAGCTCATCTTGAGTATGTAGATGAAGAGGAGACAGCATCAGCATCAGCATCAGCTCTTTTTTTTTTTTTTTTTTTTGTTACTAAGGGCTTTTACTATATCCAGCTGTTTTGCTCCATAACATGGCGATTGTGATTTATTGATTGGCTCCTAACTTCTTGGAGTGTTGGGAAATATAGAGAAATTATACATATACACAACAATTTTGAACGTATAGTAGAGTTAGCGTGAAGTTATAGTATAGTTTACATGATTGCATTAGGGGAGTATTTCGTCTTTTTGTGCATTATAAAGATTAACAAGAAGTCTAATTTAACAGCTCAGCTCAAGTGGAATTTCGAGTTCCGTGATTCATTGGTTTTATACTCCTTAAACAAGCTCACATAGTTGAGAGATCCTAAAAAACAAAAGTTTTAACTAAATTTTTTTTTTAAGACTAGTCATCGGACAAAGATTTTAGTTTTCACATTCATCAGTAGTTCGGAGATCTTGACTAAGGCCATTTTGGATGCGAAAGAATGGCAAGCGGCGCAGAAGATAGCACCTAGTAGCGATGCCCCTGTTTCTCCTTCTTCTGGTCTCCGCTGCGTACAGCAGACACCTCGAGCTGATCCCCACACTGTCGTCTGCAACGTGGATGCGGCGTGGGATAGTCGCACTGGGAACTGCGGCATCGGCGGCGTTTTCTCAGGTTGGTCTCCACGGCCACACCTTGTTCCCATCTGCGAATCCCGCAGACTTGTCTCATCGGCGTTAATGGCTGAAGCCCTCGCCATCCGTTCGGCAGTTATGTATGCTGCTTCCTCGAATGTTAAATCCCTTATGATCTTGTCTGATTCCTCATCCTTGGTGAAGCTGGTGAAAGGAAAAGAATCAGCTCCAGCATTATTTGGCATTTTATTCGATATCTACCATTTTAGTTCTTCCTTTGATGTAGTCTCTTTTGCTTCTGTACCACGTTTGAGGAATGTTATGGCTGACTCGGTGGCAAAGTCAGCTCTAGCATTGCTTAACTCGTCCTCCGATAATGGAGTGTAGCACGTTTATTATGAATGAAAATTAGTACTTGATCAAAAAAAAATGTATAGCACTTTGTATCAAAAGATTGATGTAATAGATTGTTTGAAATTAAAAAAAAATGATTTTTTAAATTTTAATAATGGATTGCGTAAGTAGTTATTTAAGTAAACATAACCACACAATATTTTAATATGTAAAGAAAGAATTATAGGTACTGAAAATAAAAAGTTGAAAAATAAATAACTGAAATAGTTAAAATAAATTTTCAACCATGAATAGTACTTTTATTGAAAATGTAAGCAAGTATATTTGTTTTTAAAAAATTAAACGAGAGAAAAGAATGATGATTGATGTTTATTGCATTGGGAGAACAATTTTCCACGACACGAGAAGCGAGTAATTGACCAGAGAGAGAAGTGTACTTTCTCATTGGTCAATTAAAGCTGTTTTTGTCATCTCTTCTGTCAGGTTTTCCTTTTTCTCTCTTCAATATCTATAGTACTCACGCATCAATTGTGTATCTCGATATATATCAATAAATGTGACATATATTTAAAAAATATCGAAGACCCATCATTTTATGTTTTTAAAGTTTAGTTATATGATATCCAGTCAAATCTTTTACCAGCGCATTCTTGTATGCACCAAATCCTCTTTGGCTGATGAGAATGTTGTAATTTTAAAAGAGTTTTTGTTTGTTTGTTTTGTTCAATAATTCCACAATAATAAGTTTTCATTTAAGAGTTTCGGTTTCCGCTATAAACAAATATCGAGGAGTATCGTATAGCATCAAATATCCACAAAACTATGATATCGTTCTATTTACATCCGAAAATAAAAGTTGAAATTTATTTCTCCACCAAATTAAAGTTATATTGTTATTTCCCCACAATTATAAAGATAGAAATTTAAAAACCCACAAAAAATGATTTTTATTGGTTTATTGTTTGTATGTAAACCGTAAATCATGTTAACCCAATGACTAATCGGATTAAGATCCAATCAGACGGATCTTTTTAAGTTCGAATGTTGGGTTGGGTTACCATTATGATCCATTAGTTGGGTTTTTTTTGTATTCATTACGATCTGTTGATTTTGTATACCATTCCGTTGTTTTTTGTTTTGTTTAGTATTGCTCAGTTTATTATATGAGAGTGGAGATTTGAAATCTGGTTTTCAAAAATCATAACTAAAACAAATTTGGTGGATAAATAGATTTAGAATTTTATTCTCGGGGGTAAATAGAACGGGATCATAGTTTCATGGACATTTGGTACTATACGATACTTTTCGTGGAGAAATAGATCGTGAACCCAACTACTTGCATATGTGAAAATGAAAATTTCAACTTATCAACTAATTTTGTACCGGTAAACAGTTGGATCTCTCTTGTCGGAAAACAAACCGTTGAATCTCTCTTACAAAAAAATGAACCATCAAGAATATTTTTAAGTAGTTTCTTTTTAGAATATAGGTGAATTAATAGACTAATGTAATCTTCTGTATTTATTAAAAAATTATATTTGGGGTGAAAGCCACTTTTGTTTATAGAATAGAGAAAAATTATAGATGATCTAGAACGTCTACCATATTTGAAATCGATCTGGTTATTCTATGTTGAGACGACATAGATGTGAAATGAAAATATTCTATACAAGACTTTTTATTGTAAGCTACAAACTTCACGTGACTTTCTAATATGTCAGTCAGTCACACACACAAAAGTACCATGAAGTGAACACAACATTCGTAATAACTCTCCATCCCAACAAAGTCAACATCCCTTTCTTACAAACACAACATTTATTCTTCCTTTTTACACCAACTAACCACTTCATCAAACACCAAACCGGATCAATCATTCATCGTCGCTTAAAGGAACAGTTTTCACCTGAAAAAAAATAACAAATCATATAAAAGATCATTGAGAGCTTATTATATTGAAGAAGAATGAATCAAAGAGTTCGTGAAAATGTGACCAAGTCGCGGAACTTGAGAATGTAGAACATCTCAAGGTATCTTCGAGTCTCACGACGCTCCAGCTTCGATACGTATTTCCAAAAACCATACACACCAGCTAGTGTCATTAGCCTCTCAGAATATATCTTCCATGTGTACCTACACAATAATACCATATTAACGTTAATAATTAGGATACAAATATTAGTCATAACATCTATATATACCTTTCGTATATCCTCTGGAGTCCAGAGTCTGATACTTTGTTCCAATGGTTTGGATCTTCCTTACAACGTTGAAAGAACTCAGCCATAATATTACCAGCTTGCTCAGGATGATACGGATCAATATGGAAACCAGATACCCCATGCTCTATAATCTCAGCAGGCCCACCGTGCAAAGTAGCAAAAGTTGGAAGCCCACAAGTCATTGCTTCCACCACCGTAAGCCCAAAGGCCTCATAGAAAGCAGGTTGAGCAAAAGCACCTTTTGTATCCGCAATGTAACGGTAAAGCTCACCGTTTCTAGCTCGGTTTGTCTGAGCTGTTATCCAACGGAACTGTCCTTCAAGCTTGTAATTCTTCATGAGGCCATGCATCTTCTCAATCTCTGAGATCTCTTCTCTGTCTTTAGACTTGTTCACATCAATGTTACCAGCTATTACAACCAGATTCACCAGCTCCCTTAGCTTTGTGTTCTTACCGTACATTTCAACTAAACCTGAGATGTTCTTCACTTTGTCTAGCCTCGCCATAGAGAAGAGTATTGGCTTCGACCTATCGCTCAATGTACCACTGCAATAACACAAACATGAAATTATTCGGTTTTTGGACATGAGCAGAGCCGGGATTAACCACATGCACTTGAAACATATGAATGGGCCTTTTTAAAAAAATATATTTATATATATTAATATATAAAATGTTAAATGTAAAATAGAAAGAAAATGACAATAACAGTTTTTAAAAATTATAATTATATAAAACTACTTATAAAAATTACAATTATATAATTTTTTTATAATAAACATGTTTTTTTTTTTCAATTGAAGATATTTTATCTTAATTAGAAGTAAGTTACATTAAGATTTTGTCTAAAAAAATATATAAAAAGAATAAAAAGTTGATTAAAATCTCAGGCTATGAGTTCTCGAAACCTATAGGTAATGTCAATAATACTTACACATGCTCATCAGTTTGCTCAGGGCTATAGAGCATCTCTTCTATGGAACCATGTAAAGCTGTGAGTCTCTTAGCTTTTTCGGTAAAAGGGAAGTAAATGGTCATGTCAGCTCCTGGAGAGACTATGTTGAACTTTGGATCAAACACATCGATGCCGTGAACTACTCTGTATAGTCCAGGGAGTGTAAAAGCTCCATGGCTTTCATATTGACCCACAGTGTTCTTCCTGAGTATAACAACAATTAAATGAGAACTAGCACATAAGGGGAAAAAAAACACTTATAGGTAATAAGTAGTGGTCACTTACGTTCCTGCGATCTCTTGGTAAGTACTTGTGATGATGAAGTCAGCGTTGTTCATAGCGATTAGATCAGCTGTGAACTGACAAGAGAAGTGGTACTTGTTGTCAAAGTCTTTCCAATAAATGTCTGAATCTGGATACTTTGTTTTCTCCAGCGCATGTGCTATGGTACACTGTTTTAATGTCAAACAAACAATGTCAAGAGTTCATATATATATCTGTGATGTTTCTTATAGGTAAAAACAAGAAAGTCTTACTTGCGTTACACCCATTT